TAGTAGTAGTAGTAGTAGTAGTAGTAGTAGTAGTAGTAGTAGTAGTATAGTAGTAGTATAGTAGTAGTGGTACCTTAAGGACCGCTTGTACTTGCCTTACTTATAAGTGAGACAAGTTGCGTCTGCAAGTTGCTTTTAAGTTGTGCAAATAGAATTTAAGTAGTTCAAGTTGTTTGAACTTTTCAGACCTACTTCAAGTTACTTGTAGTATACTTGGCTTCACTTGTTCTACTTAGTAAGTAGAACTAAGTAGAAATATCTTGGCCAGGCTGGTTTGAGCAGGCGGTGGCCTTATGTAGGCTAAGTTACTTGTGTATACTTATACGCTACTTAGATCTACTTATCCTACTTATGTGAAAGTTGCATTTTTCAACATTTTTTTCGCGAATGAGAAAAACACATGAAAAACATTGCTTTTTTGTTTTATGGCGCAAACTTGGGAACTCAAGTTATTTCATGGTTCGCGCTCCCATGTGAAAGGTGTTGTGCAGAGGGTCACTTTCAGCGGTATGGCCGCTCCTGCGCAAGCTTTCGGTTGGATGTTGTTGGGGCATTTGGCTCATTTCATGACTTTCTGTCATGATTTTTCGTGTTGATGTCATGCTTTTGTTAATGTTTCGTATTCGTTGGTAGTGTTTCTTTTGAGATTTCGTGTCAAAGCAAGACAATATGATTGGACGAGCTTCTTGGACAACTATAGATTCCAGATGGACACAATGGACCACGCGCATCATTTGGTGCAGAATTTACCTTGCTACAAATATGGCGTATATATCCAAAGATATATATATATATAGTTGCTATTGTTACATATAGTTTCTTCCAGCCAATGTTCTTCCAATTAACGTTCTGTCCACGTGTGGCCAGCAATGAGCGACCGGGTGAATGAGATTCCGCCTTGGAGGAACAGGACTGCGGTGGCCAAGGTAAGTGGAGCGGCTCCTTCACCTTGCAGATCTTCCAGCCGTGGTGATTCTATGTCTGGCATTGCCCCAGTCAATGGATCCACTTCGAAGGCATCGAGCCCTGCAAAAGTGTCCAGCCCTACAACAGCACCAACCTTTGCAAAGGCATCTAGCTGTGTAACTTCAGTGACTGCTGCTTGTGCAAGTTCTTTGCCATCGACGCCGCCGGTGATTCCACCCTGGAGACAAGATCAAGCAGGACCTGCGCTCGCAGCGGGTTCCTCTGGCACTGATGGCCTACTAGTTGGCGCATCTCCGCAGATGGTTCCAGAGCTTGAGGTTGGAGCTCGGTGGAAAGCTGCCGCTCCATGTCCACTTCCGCCTCGTTGGAGCTCCTGGTTTCGTTTTTGAGTTACATTGTGATGTACCCAGGCCTTCGGTAAGAGCATACCCCACCATCTTCTTCTGCGCATTGGCCATTGATCTGCAAGATCCACTATTTGATGTACCTCCCAGTTGTGTCTGGTGGCGAAATCATTCAAGAGGCCTTGAAGATATGGATCATCTTGAACCTGCGGCACAGATTCGAGGATGGCTGCTTGGCATTGTATCAGGTGAATGACCTCAAGACCTGCTTCAAGGGTTTTGGATCTGCTGTCTTGTGCTCCTCCTCGGGCTCCTTGTCGGGAGTCTGGTTCACATGGAAATCCCATAATGGCAATGGGAGAAGTGCCAGTGGTGTATCTGTGGATCTTCTGGGCTGCATCTGGGTGGGTGATGTCAAGCTGGATGACCGGCGCCGCGCTGTTGCGTCGAAGGTGCGACACAGCCAAGGAATTCGAGTCCACTCGAACCAATGGGGTGAATCCCAAGTATTCCATACCGAAACCCATCCCACCAAATCCTGAGCAAAGATCAACGAACTCTGCCGAAAGACTGGTGGTGGCCTTGCCAACATGCCATGTTGCGTTTTCAGCAATGACCAGGATTGGTAGGTCCTCAGTCTGCTGGACAGTGGCATTGTAGACCGTGATCTTCTCGCGTGGGAGATCCTTTCCAGCAACCAGCACGGAGTGTCCTGATTCCAAGGCACCCAACATCAGGTTCTCATCAACCTCATCCAAAACCTCCAGGATTCCTGTGTATGGTTTCCCCACAGGAAGGGACATCGAAGGATCTGGGGACGACATGGCACGAGTGAATCGTCTCCCAACTCTGCTTTCCAAAACTACTATATGAACCCATTGCCCACTCTCTTGATCCCGTTTCCCATATATACCCACATATGCACAACTATCCGCACTGCCAGCCAGAGGGCGCCACATACACACAGAATGCCCCATTGTCTCTTTCTGCCACGAACAACATATGATGTTCTCAACACATACTTCCTCCCTTTCTCCCACGGTCAAGGAAACTAAACTGCTGGATCCTATTTTTCGTTTTGCTCTTACATGCGCTAGCTATTTTCAATCAGTTCTTTAGCAATCCTAGCGCAACCAGCAGCCTGTGCCTGCCACAGCGAACCAGGATCGCGATGGGCATCCTGCATCACATGCGCACATCACGCACAACATATATGGCTCTCCTCTGAGGCCATATACTTTCGAAAAAACTGACCACGTCCTTCCAAACCATTTCAAGCGGAACAAACCCGAGCACCCCCTGTCGCTGCTACGCGGTACCTGTAGTCTGGTGGACCCATATCGTGCGCAGGGCGTATCCCGATGCCCCCGCGCCCTACTCTACTTGCCCATCCAAGGCAAAGCAACCCAAGGCTTCTTCGAGCACCTCGGTCAAAAAAGATTTCATCTACTGCCATGACCTCATCGCATCTTCACAGCCAGCCTCACTGCGCCCAAGCCCATCACCATGCCCTGCTCAAGCGACACCGGTCGCGCCAGGAACAGCTGCATCAGTCCAAGCCCCGCTCAACCCGGTACAGACCTTTTTCGGAGCCTGGGCCAACTCGACCTTGATGCTTGCAGCCGTTCGTTTCTTGCCATTCTTTGTCTGCCCGTCCTGCACAGCTGCCAATTCTTTTTGGAATGCTGCGATGAGGCTTTCTGGTGGGCGCCCCATCAAACCAGCTTTCCAAACAGCGCTCGCATGCACGGTCTGGAATTTGCTCTCCTGGAACTCGAGGCCTGCAGGTGAAACCAACGCGCTACTACAAACAGTAACAACACAAACCTGGTCCTTGCAGCCTGCTTTCATATCCTGGCACCTATCTTTTACCATAGCGGCTTTTTGCAACCCCCCCCTGCCTCCCACCACCACCAGGCATAGCTGCTGAGCGTCCAGAACAAATTGGGTCTGCACTTCCAACGGCACCTTTGCCACCACATCCACTGCCACACTTTCGGCGTCCTGGTGGTCCTGGGCCAGGCAAGCGCAGCCAAAGTTCCTGATATTCGACTGCAAAAATGTTGTTTTTTTTAACATTTTTCTTGTTTCTGCGCAAACTTGGAAAAACTAGTGAATTTGAAGGTTTTTGTAATGGAAAATGAGGACACCAGCGCGCAATCATTGATTATTTTCTATTTGTGTTGGAGCGGGCACACCGCTAAAATCACTAAATGGAGCGGAAAGACCGCTGTCGGGTACACCTAAACTCATGTTTTGTGAAACCTGGCGTGTCCGCTTGTTGCACATAGAGTACGAGAAGAAATGTAGGTGGATCTATGCGCTGTATTTATCTGGATTTCTTTGCGTTTATACACATACATCTTCGAAAAGCATGTCACGAGGCGTATGTACATAGAGTAGCGTACACAGAAGAACTTGCGAGCTAGACGCCAGTATGTATATGTGTGTGTTCATACAAATCTGCGCGAAGATATGCGCTGGTACACGCATAGACATTACAGTAAGTCATCTGCAGGTGGTAGTATAGTGATGAGGGGACAACAGCCAATACATGTATAGGTGAGCACGGTCACGCAGGTGCATGAATTGGTGCTGGAAAACTGCTGAAAAGTGAACCTGAAGCGCGATAACTTTTCCATGGATCTCACGGACGTAGCAGCTTCTCATCCCAGGTGCTGGAGGCACTCTTTCATGAAACTTTCAGAATCTTCAAGCACCTTATTGTCGATGCTACACTGCAACTTCTCTAAGACGTCCAAGGAAATGGCTAGCTCACGCTTCAGGGCTTCACGGCGGTACAGGTTGAGCCTGGCCAAGCCCTTTGGGATCGTAGGATCTGGCAGCGCAACAGGACGGGGAAGGCTGCTTGAAATAGTGACGTCCATACCATCTAG